CTATATATAAATAAAATAATAGAAATATATTAAATATTGCTGCTTAGGTATTATAGCCATATAAATAATTAACACATTTGCATACTCATCACACTTTTCGACTAACACTCTACCACGGTAACTCGTTTTGCTGTCAATCGTGTTTTATGACTCTCTCTCACTCACTCTGGCTTGGCCTTCTCTTTTGATTTGCTGCGTGCTAATTATGTATGTATGTTTGTAACTATGGATGTTTTTTGTAAATATGTTTTCAGTTTGTACTCCGGCCTCTCTCACTCTCTGTTTTGCTGGCGCTCTCAAGAACCGGCTCTTTTCTGTTTACTTTATTGAATGCGAATGTAATGGCAGAAAAGAACTTACAATCTTAAGACACAGATACAAGGATGTGTATGTTTGAGTGAGCATGTGTGTATAAATACAGAGATCTGCATACGCCATGACGTCTCTAGTAAATAAAAATTGTACTGCACTGCACATATAATATTTATATATGCATTTATTTATGTATTTGTTTATGTATTTCTGTGAATATATTGTATGTATTTATATTAATTTAATAAATTGATTGGTCGCAATTTGAATGCGTGGCTGCGATTCGAAATGTACTGTTCATAGCTAGTTAAATTTCGGCATGCTACATATGTACATACATATAAACATGGAAGTATGTAAGTAAATATGTTTGCTACACTCGTAAAGGGCTTGTCTAGTTAGCCGCTCTTTTTAGCTCGCTCTCTCTCTTGTTTTGCCATTCTGTTTTGTGCCTTTTCTGCGTGCCAATGAACGATCATAAAGCAGCAGCACGTGTTGATCAAATCAAAGCTCTGCTTCAACAGCCCCAAAACGCAACTCGTGTAGCGTAACCATTGCACTAATTACACAAACACACTAACTTACACTGGCGCACAGACCGCAGAATACATGTGTATGACATAATAATAATAATAATTATGCCGTTGTCGTTGTTGATGTTTTCATTTTGTTGTTGTTGCTGTACTCGGCGCCGGGCGACGCGTCGCTTTTTCCATTAAAGCTTCCCCGTCTCGCTTTTGCATTTGCATTCACATTCGCATTCGCATTCTCATTGCAGCACAGTTTTGTTTCTGTGTTCTTTGCATTTCTGTGGTTGCTTTTATTGCAGGCAATTTGTATATGGTGGGGACGAGCGAGATAGACAGCTTATTACAGCACTTGATGGCGCTGCAGTTTTTTGTTGTTGTTATTGCCATTTGTTATTGCACATTGACGTAATATCGGCTGGAAGCAAGTTGAAAGTGGACAAATGTTGGGGCTGTCCCTCAGCTCATATTAAATTGGGGAATCGAAAAAAATGTCAAGTACAGCTATAACAGTTTCTTTTTCTTTTCTGCTGAATTTGCAAATTACTGCAAAGCAATTTCTAAGAACACAATTTCGCTGAGGGATTAGGTAAAATGCTTAGATTGTGTTTATTTGTTGACCATTAATCAAATAAATATGATTTTATTGCTGTCATCTGTGCTGTAGTTGTTGAATAGCAACTGTACGACGCCATAGCTGTATGTGTATTAGTGTGCGTTTGTGTGTTTTATCACGCCACCAGGTTCCATTCACTGTCCATGCTGACCCCAACGTCTGACTCAATTCATTCTAAAATTTTCCAAAACATGAACAGACGCGTGCCAAGGTTCTGAATTTAATGATACGATCATTGGTACAGATTAGACGAAGACCCCAACATGAAGCTGAATTAATGGCACGCTTCTTGCGATTAGATTCTAATAAAAGCTGCCAACTTGATCTTCGACCCACGTTCAGCTGCAGGCAGCTTGCAGCCAAAAAAATACCAAAAAAAAACAAATGACAAATGACAAATTTTCCATGTTGAAGTGGAACAGACGAACGAGTGCCCGGCGAGATGTTATCAGAGCAAGTGAACGGCTCGCTTCGGTCACGTCACAGATATTCCAATACGACGACCATGTGATCTGATTGGCAAAAGCGAGAGGCACGCAAAGAGAGCGCCGACAGCACTGGCTGGGAGAGTGGAGAGCGAGAGCGTGATTTGGCAAGCAAGTTTTTTTTCTGTTTTGTCTATGAGCTTTTGCATCGGCTTGGACGATTTGCTGAATGCGCTGCGCATGTTTTTTGCACTTTGAGTTGTTATCATAGATAAGGTAGGTGTGACAAACTGGCCACAGATGAAAGTGTACTACAGAATGATGAATGGCGTGCTTTGCGCAGGTGTGTGTTAGCAGGCTTATAATTAAAATGTGATGTCCATTTCATTCGTTGCGATTGCACAGCGCCGCTTTTCATCATCCACTGCTCAAAGCTCGTAATAAAAAAATACTAAGTAATCATGAGGGTAAATATTTATAGTCGCGTGGTAACCTCGTCGCTAGGCCGTGATAACAAATCGTGACTCTTGCTTTATTTATTTTTTATTTATTTTTTTTAGAATTTTTTTTCGGTTTTTAATTGTGGCGACATCGTCGCCTATTTCATCAAAAGTCCAACGGTTAACAACTACTGGCCAATAGTTTATGGAGTTTATCGAGTTGACGGGCGTCTTTCTATAATTAGTCTGATATCAAAGGCAATAAATACCGTCCGTCTATCAATCAGCAGGTGTATCCATATAAATTTGATAGTAGAGCATTACAGCGGGGCCTTTAGTATTACAATAGGCCTCAATTGAACGGCATCTGGTCTAAGCTAATTAATATTTGTATTGTAAAAAACTATGTATTTAATCATTTTCCATGAACTGGTTAAACGAGTGACCAGCTACAGTAATAGCTCGCTTTGACGATCCATTCATGTTAATACAAAATTAGTACATTTTAGTACAAATTCGCTTTGAAACTTATGAAATGTCATAGCGAATGTTTACTGTACTTTGACAATTATTCTTTATTTTGCAATTAATAGAGACAACTGTTGTCGTACTGTCGCCCCCTGGCGCTCTTTTTATCTGTTGTTCTATTTTAATATCCCATCCATATCATTATTTATTTACTGTTATTTGTTCAATTCGCCTAGGTGATACCAATTGGAAAAAAGAAGGCAAAGTCAAATAATTTGTCACATGGTGTGGCGATTGGAGGCTTAACTCACAGACAGGCACACATACACTTGCAAAGAGAACGCCCGCTCTCGCAGACACAGTCACACACACAAACAAACTAAAGTCTATTCACGCAATGTATGTAAACAAAGCGCGGACACACACACAGCAGCAGCAGCACGCTGCACGTGTTTTGTGTGTGGGGGGAATATTGAAAGAAATTGGCAAGCAGCAGCAGCTGAATGAGTTGAGTTTTGTGTGGTTGTGGGAGGTAACAAACTCACCTCTAATTGATAAATCCATAATGTTCTCACGCTCTCTCTCCGCGCTGCTGCTGCGTCTGCTACTACTACGACTGCTACTCTCGGCAGACATGATGATTATTAATGCGCAAAAATAAAACCGAAACTGTTTAGCTCCAAGAGCAACAACAACTGCGTAGCAACAGGCACTTGTAACACAAATCAAAACCGAAACACATGTAAAATGAATAACAAATTATGAGCGCTGCGATCAAGCAAGAGAGCAGCGCTGCTGCTGCTCCGCCGGGGTGGGTTGGTCACGTGGTTGCCCTTGGGGAGTTCGGGAGAGTGCTTTTATTTGTTTTGCTGTCCCAGCCAAGAGGTGAAGATAGAGCCTGCAGCAACTCTAACGAAACGAAACGGAATACAAACAAAGAGAGATAGGGATAGTTTGAGAGAGCGGGTGCCGATATACAAGTCCAATATCAACTCTGACCAAAATGCTCGGCAGCGCACGGCACACAGCACACAGCAGTCATCTCGCTCACACCATTGCCACGTTATATAAGGCTTATGTAATTGAGAAACGACAAGGCATGCGCACGGGGCCACAGTGGGACACAAAAATAGCAACGCAAATGAGATTTTTTATGGGATTTCTAAGTGTATATATACATATATACATATATACATATATGTCTAATCTTGACGCTCGATCTGGCTATTTTTGGTTATGGCCCATCTACTAATGAGTTTTTAGTGGCGGCTCAAGTTGCAGTAGGATGAAAGGGAAACACAAACGATCTTCCTCCCCTTTCTTACTAACCACTGTGAAAAAAAGTTTCCAATTGGAATTCAGTTATTTTCTTTGTTTCGTCATTCAATAACAAGTAACAAAAACACATATCCAACGCCGCACAATCAATTTGATTGGCAAGCTGTCCGCCTATCTAGATGTGGCATTAAGTCCCCAGGATTTGTGTGTGGGATTATGTTTGTGAACTGGCAACCGGGGCACGGGATTAATTTTTGAATATATGATAAGGCACTACTAATGCCCATACACATCAAATTCCACACCTCCACAGTGACAGAGATATATATAATTTGAAGGTGTTTTATTTATATAATTTGCTTGTTCATTTCCCATTCAGGCACTGAAATCTAACATTTTCCTAGCGGTTGGAGATGACAATTTTCACAGCTGCATGACTGTAAAGCGCACTGAACTTTAAATACATTTAACACAGAAATACTTATATAAATATATATATTTATATTCCAAATTTAATCATTTGAATTTTAGAGTTTTCTAATTTTCGTAACATACTCTTAGGCCTATCTGATTAACGACTTAACCACTTTAATTTCTGTTGCATACCTTTAAGGAAAGATCTGTTAGCGTTTACATATCATTTGCGCAAGCTAACTGCTTCAACTTATGTTGCATACCTAAAATGTTCGCTTTGTTAGCATTAGCAGATCAATTGAGCACATAATGACTTGCTTAACAGTGCCGAGCGAGTACTAACAGTGATGAATTCAAAATAACCGTTCACTGTACAACGATTGACTTTAAACTGTATGTGTAGGCAACTCTTGTGATTTTGGGAATTTTGTATATAGCAAGAGCAACTAAATAACAGCTTCACACTCACAACAACAAATAAGTTGAGCGACAGTCCATAACATAATTATGCTAACTTAACATAGAGTTTGAGTAGTTCGCTGCGCAGCATTGCTCTGCGTTGTTGTGCGCTGCTCAGCTCTCTGCTTGTTTACTGAGGTGCTCATTCGTTCAGAAGTGGTCGATCGCGAATGACGTGTGTTCTCGATTTTTGGCGCGTTCAATGAAATGCTGTTGTCGTGCGCGCGCTTTAAAATATTTTTAATGGAAATTGATTTTGATTAAAAAGTGGCAGCCAAATAAATAATTGAAATTAAAATTAAATGCGTGTGAAATTGGCAAGAAATACCAGCTGTCAGAAACCAATACACGAGCTTCCGTGTGTGTGTGTGACTGTGTTTAAAGTGTGTGTGTTGTCAGGGTGCGTGAAAAAATGCACTAAACAAGAAATCAAAGCAAATTAGAAAAAAAAACAACAACAACAAATATGCCAAATTAAGGCAGCACGAGTCGAACGCAAAAATAATACAATAAAAATTTTCTAAAAGAAAAACAAATTGAAATTCCGGTTCGCGCACAAACATGCAAAATACAATGCAAACTTTTCCAGCAGCCGCCACTGCGGATGCGTCGTCTGCGTCGCCGCCTGACTTTGATTTCCAGATGCCGTGTCGCTATTTCAAAAGTTCTTTTGCGCGTTCGCTTTCGCTGAACAACAACAACAACAGCGCATTAGCATTGCCTAAGAATTCGCCGCAAATTGAGGCCAAGCAGCAGCAGCAGCAACAGCAAGAACAACAACAGCAACTGGAGCAGGAGCAGCAACAGGAGTTGCTTTGCTTAACGCCGCCGCCAGCGCTGCCTGCACGACGCCACACGACCAGCAACAGCAGCATCTTGACACATTTCGCTGCAGCGCCGGCTAATCAGCTGCCAACTCAACAACAAAATCAACAGCAGCAGCAACAACAACAGCAATTCAAGCGGAATCTGAATCTTGCCCTCAGTTGGTCTTTGCAGGTAAGCTTTCATTGAATCTTATTGTCCACTCCGCTCTCTTTTTCACCAACCTCTCTCACGCTCTCTAGCTGTTAACTCTCATATGTATGCATGTGTGTATGAGTGTGTACTCTTACTGTTGTTGGTGTTTCTGCACATGCTTTGCTCTTTTACCCATTAAAAATGCGTTTATTAGAGTGAAGCTTATGTGCATAAGAGTTTACATAAAACTTATGTTTTTACCAGGACTGTAAAGTGTGGAATTCAATGCAATAGCTCTGATGATATGTCTTAAGTAGTATGTTAATATGCTTATATAAGCAATTACGTTTTACTTAACATAGTCGCATAATTTTTTTTATAGGGTAGCTGCAAGTCGGCGTTGCTCCTGTTTTTCGCTTGCTGCTGCCTTGGAAAGAAAAAAGTCGAGTTTCCTTTTTTGGAGCAAGTTGATATTTATGTCACCTTGTTGCTTTGTCCCGCTGTCCGCCTCGTAGCCTTGTAGCCTTGACAGCCTATCGGACGCGTCTTTCTTTCTGTACAGCAGGACGTGCATCGAGCATCTCTTGCCCAGCTTCGTCACGCTGGCCGTGATATGACAACCTTTTTTTTTTGTTTTTCTTTTCCTTTTTGTGTTTTTTTTAAGGTCAACATTATTTATGTGCGAACATTTTATGGATGATAGTTGTGGTGCGTGCGTGTATGTGTGGGAGTTTGTTTAGAGAAGGGGGCCATAGGAAGCTGACAGCAGCAATAAAACATATTTGATTGGGGCCAGGGGGTTATGAATGGCGAAAATACTCAGCGGGTGCTTGGACACTTAAGAGTTGAGTCTTTAATGAGAGTTGCTTTAGTTCTGTTTTGTTATTCTATTTTGTGCTGTATTCGCAAACGTTTAACAGGCAGCAAGTGCGTTGTTTTAAATATAAAGGGAGGCTTATCAGGAAGAAGCTTATTTCCTATAAACTCTTTTCTCTAATTCTCAGACCAATTACAAATTTAGTTCCTATATCTTTTGCTTTCATTTAAACTTAAGATCATATTCTTTACAGTTCCTCATTAAACATAATTAAGCTGCTTTACCGGTTAGCATGCTCCAAGTTTTCGTGATTCGTAATTATATGATTTATGTTTTACTCTTTCGACCTTATAAATGGGTATTATTATATGTCGCATGTTCCACTTGTTCTACAGACAAATAGCTAATGTCAAAAAAGTTTAGCATTTAGGCCCAAAACAAATTACGTCAATTAGCCTAAATGTCAAGAAAAGCGAAGAAGAAATACAGCTTAAATGCATATATAAATATATATATATATATATAGAGATAAAGATATATTTATATAAGTTGTCCATATATGTCGTAATACTTGTATTTTTTTGGTCATGGTCTAAAACGCGCAAAAATAAAGACATTTTGATACGACAATCTTTAAGCTGAACGCACAGGCCGATTATGCCAATGCTGAACGGTAGATGGCGCATTTGAACTTGGTTGTGACAGCAGCTGTTGCTGTTGCAAACGCGTTGCAATGTTGCAACAACATTTGCGGTTTTGCCAATTGAAAGTGAAAATCAAATGGCAAATGCAATGAACTCTTAGGCAAAAAACAACTCCTACACCTAGAGTATTGGATCGCAGCGGCGGCGGGGACTTACGGGATTTCATTGGTGTTTGGCGAAAGCTGCGAACGAGCCATCCAGCGAGCAGCTGCTGTTAGAAAAATTCAAATTATGCGCCATTCAAGTGTGGCCAAGAGGCCAGCGACAAAAACAAAAACAAAGGCAAAGACAAAGGCAGAGACAAAGACTCGAGTATCGAGTGACAATCATGAAGAAAAATACAAATAATAAAATGCAAGTGTTGTTGTTGTTGTTGTTGTTGTAGCTGCTGCTGCTGCTGCTTTTACCCATTACGTTTTTAACGGCGTCTATTAAAGCCGCAAATCTTGGCGACATTTCGTAATGAGGCAGCAAGCTGCCAGTGGCATATCGTATTACAAGTAGACAGAGACAGGAATACATTCAGTTAGAAAGAGTGGGATAGACACACAGAGAATGATAGCTTAACCAAAGGCCATACGTAATTGTAGTGCATTTGCTATTGTCACATTGAGATAGGCATGAAGAGAGGGAGAGAAGGAGAAACGGAGAAAAAGAGAGAGAGAGAGAGAGAGAGAGAGAGAGAGAGAGAGAGAGAGAGAGCGAGCGAGCGAGCGAGCGAGAAAGGGAAAAAGACAGCGACAGAAACAGAGAATGTGAAGACCAAGAGACAGTGAGTAAGAGAGAAAAACATTCAGAGAGAGGAAAATGCAACAAGAGAGAGATAAAGAGAGACACATATGCACGAGAGAGAGAGAGAAAGAGAAGAGAGAAGAGAAGAGAAGAGAGAAGAGAAGAGAAGAGAGATAAATATGTAGGGAGAGAGAGATAGATTTATATATATATGTATATATGTATATAGAGAGAGAGAGATATGTAGCGAGAGACGTGTAGAGAGATGTATAGAGATAGATATATAAAAATAGAGATGGATATGTAGACAGAGGAAAATGAGAGACAAAAAGTTATGCAAAGATAGAGAGAGGTATGTAGAGAAACAGAGAGAACAAGAGAAGGATAGACAAATAGGCAGAGAGAGCGAATCAGGGAGAGAGAGAGTAGGATATATAGATAGACAGATACAGAAAGAGAGAGAAACAGTGATATGTCTAGAATATAGAGTGATAGAGAGAGAGAGAGAGAGAGAAACAGATATGTCTAGAATATAGAGTGATAGAGAGAGAGAGAGAGAGAGAGAGAGAGAAACAGATATGTCTAGAATTTAGAGTGATAGAGAGAGCGAGATATAGAGTTTGCCAGCTCAATAAAAGGCCAACAAAGTAATTGTACAACATTTTGTTATTGTTTAAGTTTTTCTCGCTTAATTTACATATTATATTAAATCGATGTCTGACCTTTGCCTTGTGAGTTGTCTTAATGATTGGCAAAAGGCGTTAACACCTCTAAATGCCAACTAAACAACAACAACAACTACAACAACAGGCTAATGGCTTAGCCTAATCAGAAACAGATTTGCCAGCTAAAACAGTCTCCAGTTAACCCAGAGCTAATCGAGTTTATAAACAAAAATCGACCTCAATTATTGAGGAATTTGTTTGGACTTGGAAAAGCCAGCTGCAGAGGCATTTTTGTGTTTATAGCCCTGTTTTCATGTCCAAGAAAACAGCAGGAAGAAACGGCTAATAGGCTCCATGGAAACTCAAGCAGCGAAAGGTCAAGAGCTGATTGTGAAATGTTTATGAGAGTTCTCCCATAGCAATAGCTCGGCTATAGTAAAACTTTTATCTTTCCAGAATTCCAATTCATAAATTCTAAATTTGTTTATGTTTAAGGCTCATAAACAATTTAACACTTAGTTGCAGAAAATTTCTACTGGCCAAGCCTTAAGATTTAGAAACCATAAATTAGAACAAAAAAGCACAAATTCTAAGAAAGACAATTTCATAATTTTTTATTTTAGATTTTTGCACCTTTTTTATTTTTTTTTTTTGATTGTGTTCTATTTTTGGCAAATTGGAATATTGAAGTGTTAGATTCGTCGGTGAAATAGAAATTTAGAAATTTATTTTCATATTTTTGTTTTCTTGTTAAGTTTTTTGCAAACTGTTGCGAGAGATGTTTGAAGGAATGAAAATGAGTAGATGGATGAGAGAGGGAGGAAGAGAAAGAGATTTAAAAGTGAAAAAATAAGAGTAAGAGAGAGAGAGAGAGAGAGAGAGAGAGAGAGAGAGAGAGAGAAAGAGAGAGAGAGAAAGAGATAGAGAGAGCGAGAGAGAGAGAGATAATACATATAGAGAGGGAGCGAGAGCGAGAGCGAGTTTTATTCTCTCTGAGAGAGAGAGAGAGAGAGAGAGAATAATAAGAGAGAATGACAGAAAATGAGGGAGAGTGGGAGTAAAAAAGATTCAGAGAATTATAAAGAAAATGAGTGAATGATTAAGAGAATGAGAGAGTAAAGAAGAGAGTAAGAGAATTACACATTGTAAAAAGAAAAGAATATGATATAAAAGAGAATATAAATGAGAGAAAGAGAATGCATAAATGGACTTAGAGAGCTAAAAAGAATGAGAGAATAAGAAAGAGATGGAGAGAGAGGAGCGCGACAAGGATGAAAGTGATATGGATAAAGCTAGATATAATGTGGTGGGATTGATAGATAAATGAAAAAATAGATAAGAGTTAATTGAACTTGAGAATCGCATAGAAGCGTTAGTTCATTTTCAGTGAAAAACAATCTTTAATCTGACTTATTGACTTAAGATTCCGTTATCTAACTTCCATAAACTTTTAAGGAAAACATATTTCATTCTATAAAGAATGATATATATAGAGTTCAAAGAAGATAAAATTGGCATTATAATTAAGTTAGTGCAGCTTGTCTTAGCTTTTCTGTAAGTTTTCCCCATTTCAAGAGCTGGCTAGAGTGGAAAATGTAAATTTATCTCAGATTTCAATTATGCAAGAAAATCTTTCGACAACTCTTCAAAACCCAGAATACCTATATCAATATTTGTGCTCAGATCTGTTCACGCCTGTGCAAGTTGCTCTCCTCTTCTTATTTTGCACGGAAATTCACTTTGGAATTCTAAAGTAACAGAAAGAAAAGGAAAAAAATAAATAAACGCCTCGCAGTTCGTTAGGAGCGCGCAGCGAAATCCCTGCATCATTATGGCTGGCTCTCTATATATATCTGATGCATATATAGATATATATATATATATATAGCTGGGAGCTGTGAGTTATGTTGTTTTCCACTTCAGCTCGTCAATCGTCAGGCGCTTGTGGGCGTGGCAGGTTCGAGAAGCGAAACGAAATAAAATGCGACTGTTGATTTTTGCACACTTTTGGCTGCAGCAGGCGAGAGTGAGAAGGAGAGAGCGGGGGTGGGTGGAAAACTGTGGAAAATCAGACAGGTCCCACATAAATTTATCGAAGAGAATTTCTTCGCTCAGCCTCAG